ATAGATCAAACACCAGCCCTAAAAAATTATAGATATATTGGCATATCATAGAGAATCAAACACCCCTCCACAATAAAACTTTTGGATTTACATTATTCATCTTCGAGTAAAGAAGCCTAGCAATGAGACTCGTTTGTAAAAACATAAAATTGAACCGCTCATGCTGGAATATTTCTTGCAAAAAAAATTTAAGGATAACAAGAAAATAATCTTGAATATCACCTTAATTCTTTAGCCTACCAAGAAAAGAAAGGGATTATTGTGAAATGGGAAAAATATGATGAACGTGTGTGCAGTAATTTGATTCAGTTAATTAAAAATTAAATTTATTTATTTAGTTATAGAAGATATATTCATGTACCAATTTATAGAAAGCATTTTAATAATATATTTATTCTATAAATAAAAAAAAATCACCACTAATTAATTTTATAATTGAATCATATTTTAAAATATTTAAAAATCTCATTCATAATTTATAAAAATTATATTTTTTATGATCATTGTGTCAATTTACTCTTATATATATTAGATCAAATTTAATTATTGGCAAATTCAATTAACAGTAACTTTAATTTATCAGCGCGGTCAATTTTATTTTCTATCTTCATCGACCATATGCGTGATAGCACGCGCGCGTCTCAGCAAGGGCGTGCAGCATGCTATGTCCATTCGTACTTTTGAAGCATAATCCCATGCTCCTTCGGGAAATTATAAAACATGCATGCCGTCTTATCCTAAAACTTACCTCTGTTTTTTTTTTAAAAAAAAAATTGTTTCTAACACACTCATTTTGCTCTTAAAAAAAGAGATCACGATAAAGGAATCAGATTGAACAATCTTATTGATTGTCGATTCCATCATATAATTGTTTGCCTTAAGCGTGTTATATGAAGCCATAATATATATAACTTGGATAATAATGATAGCATGGCCTGATATATATATATATATATATATATAAAGAGTGGATCATCTGGTAGACGTTATTTCTAGAAGGCGAAAGAAATGTTGAGGGAAAAGCAATATGGGAGCATAAAGAAAAGAGGGAGACATGATCGAGCACTACTTTATGTTTGTTTAATTACAAGAATAATTGCCCACTCTACGCCAAGTTATGAATATTTTAGCACACAATCATCATATAATATTATAAATATGTACACTTTTACAAGCATTAGCTCCTCATATCAATCTAACCTGGGGGGACCAATTCATTGCTGACGGGCCCCATATTCTCGTATTTGGGCTGCCCTTCAATTGCTACACACACAGACACACGACCAAATAAGTCGAGCAAAAGAGCATATGATCTGGTTGGCATGGTGGAGTGCAGATTTTTAATAGGAGTGATCAGAGGCAATGAGTCCCAACCCTTTACATGCCTCATGCCTGCAAGGGGGTTCCATTACATGCTTTCGAATTCTATATTATCAGAATCAAAAAAGAAAGAAAGGAAAACCAATTAATTAAGCAGATCATGATCATCAAGAAATTAAAAATGCTTCCCCACTTGGGATGCAAATTGAATTGAGATATGGTTATTAGAGGTTGATTGTCGGCCAAGTATAAGGTAATTGTGGATGTTAAGGTGTGGTTTAGCAGTTGATTCCAAATTAGACAGGAGCACGTGAGGGGGCGTCTGTGTGTAGCCTTCAACATGCTTTTATTTTGGCATCTTCATTTTCTCGTCTTAGGAGTAACCTTCACTTCACCTCCCCCATCTCAGTTATTTTTGTTCCTGTCCTTCAAAAGTACAGCATTCCGGTATTTCCCCTTTCTTGTGTGTCTGACTCTTTCACATAATTTGCTGTTTAGTGGATATTACACAGTTATTTCAGTTTACCCCTGCTGTTCCTTCTATCATTGTGTTATCATTTAGTTACATTACTAGAAAACGGTGGAATAATGAATAGTTGTTGAGGAATGTTACTTTAATTTAACTTGGTCTGCCTTTGCTGACCATGCATGTAGTACAAAGTGTGGTTGGTTGGAAATGTTGGTGGAGAAGAGATTGGGTTGGTGCCATGGGATCGTATCTTTTGTCCATCTACTATAGCGCTACGCGACACACAATTTCAGCACTACCTGCCACCTACTCTATAACGTAACTTAACTCTACGGCTTGTGAATGTATTCAAGTATTGTTTAACTTCTTTAACTTGCTTTAATATATCGGGCTAGCCACTTTGTCGCTCTTTAACGTGTGCGTGCTTGAGTTAAGGATACAAGAATAGAATGGCTTTAATTACACTTGCTTGTGTTGGGTGGAAATATGTATAAGTTGGGGGCCGGAAGATAACAGTTACTACAGTAAATGGTTAATTAATTAAGGGATTTAGTTGGAATCTTTGCTTTAAACACCAAAGTGATCCCAAAGATACACACACTGTCTCTCTTGTGAGAACAATGACACCTGAAAAAGAACTAACGAATTTCTTTTGGGGACAGTTAAAGGAGAGTCACATATACCTCTAGTCTTATTTGTATGAAAAGGTCATATTCTTATCACCGAAAAAAAATGTCATATTCGACGCTTTTGACTCTCCCGCTTTTTACACATACCCAGGGGAAAAAACTATTGTGCTTCTCGCACGCATCAAATCTTATAGTATCAGTTTGATAATATGCCCTTAGATATTCTTTTGGCTCGTTTGTATTTTCTGTGAAAACGGTGTTTCTTATCCTTGCTAAAAAACATATCTGCATTAATAAACTCGACGACGTGCGCATGAAAACTTTCGGGATATTAAAAGGGTGTAAGTACTGTAAGTCAGACCTCTGTGCTCATTTATTGATAAAATATATAAATAATTTTTGAATCTCTGATAGTAATGCATGCGTGCATATGAGTGGATACCGTGTATCCACACTAGCGTCGAAGTGACAAGTGAAAAGAAGCTTCGCCTTATGCGGGCAGGCAAATCTTTGAATTGAAGAGCATGCGTATCTAAATAAATGTTGTGTACGAGAACCCTAATCTTGTTCAAACACATGATCGGCAACTGCTAGTTGAACATATCACGGGTTACTTTCAAGCGATATGAATCAAATCTTTAGACGAACTTAATTAATGCACGGCCCAACAAACGGGGCTTTGTTTACCGGTTCGTGAATTATTGTACTGTACACTCATGTAAACCATGAATCAAGCCAAATTGCTAAAATACCATAGCAAATGGATGCAATGAACAAACAAGCCCTCATTTACACGAGAATGAGAGGTTACTCACATCAAAGATTCAAAGTTTATAGAATAATATATTTTTTTCAAAAAAAAAAGTCGTAACTTAACTACTCATTTACTCAAGCGGATGTAAGGGATCTTTTAAAAAAGAAGATGAAATAGGAGTGACGGTTTAATTTTGTTGATTGGGAAGAAAATTTTTTGGATGAAGTGACAAAAGTGGGGTCGTAACGGCTACTACCTGTCGGAAGGGAGAATCATGGACATGAGCTTTGCCTAGAAACCGTGTGGGCTCCATGAACTCGAAGAAATTAAAAGGAGGGAAGGAAATAAAGAGAGAAATAAATAAATAATAATAATAATAATCAAGAAAGGGGAAAAGTGGGGGGTCAGTTAGGGGCAAACTTTTTTATTAAAGTCGCTTAGGTGGGTCGTCAATTCCATCTCCAATCATATCATGTTTTTGCAGATCTCTGGAATCCCAAGTGGACGTTAACCCTCGACTCCGGACCCCTGCGCCCTAAAGTTTTTCTTTTCTTTTTCCTTTTTGTTTTAAATTGTTTATTTTAATAAAATCCATCTTATGAACAGATATTTCAAAATGGTGAATTCAATTTTAACGATAGGGTAACCCGTCCCCATGGACGCCAACTCTATTAGGACTCTGACTTCAACAACGCCATCTTCCAAAAGATCCCATACGATCTCTAACTTTACTCCCTCCGAGCGGGAGCCACATGCAAAGAAATTATAATTCAATTCAGAAAAAAAATATCAAGTTTTAAAGTTGCTGCTGTTCCTTTTTCAATTAAATTTTAAATTCTTAATATAGGACGAAATTTAAAAATTTTGTTAGATAGTAAATATAAGACGAAATTAAAGCAATTAATAATTTTTATTGAATTTTACCTTATATTTATTTATTATCATTTAAATTTTTCAGCAACAATTTATAACAATAATTACTTACAAAATTATAATTAATAATTTTTAATAAGTGAGGAGTTTGTTCGTGAGAATAGTGTGTGCAAGAGTAAATTATTATTAGGAAGGAGAGCATGTGATATCGTGCAGGGTTGGTTGATGAGAGGGTGACGCGTGGCAGAATGATTCCTAAGAAGAGATTAGAGGGTGGTAATGGCACGCCTTTCCAGGCTCCAGCTCTCTCCCCTGTTTTTAGTTTTGAGTCTCAGGAACGGGTGGCCGCATACTGCCCAACACAATCCTGTCAGCACATGGTCCTTAACAGTAGATTATAGTAACTTGTCCGTGTTCCTCTGTTAAAATGTCTTCCCAAAATACGTGCGAGTGTTTAGTCACAAGATCAAACAAATGGAATCCGAGTGTTGCTGCGGATAAGGCAGCCCATGATGGGAGGAGGGATTAAAGCCGAAGCAAGAACCAGAATCAAAGTGGCATCATTGTCTTCGGAGGACCTTGTTAATATAATATGGAAATAAGAGCCGGACCCACACGGTTTTATCCCTACATGCTCCCCCCTGCTCTCAACATGCCATCCACGATTCTCCTCTTGACTAAAACTCTCTTCTCACATGGCCGCACACTTCCGTCACGTCTCACTCCCTCGTTACAGCCCTACATTAACCACTGGTCTCACATGCCTTTCCCACCCTCTTCAAGTTTAATATCATTTCACCCGTCCCTTTCTTCTCTCTCTCTCTCTCTCGTTTTTTTTTTTTGCCTGAACCTCTAGTTGGGCTTCAATGGCCTCCATGCTACATCGACAGACCTATAGAGTTCCATGGTCTTAGCAGGCCCCGGCCCCTGTCTGGACATTGTGCAGCACTAGGACTTTCACTTTTCAGACAGCGATCAACTTCGGCTACATTAACACAACCGGGTTTACATGTACAACATAAGAGCGTGGGACGCATACCATGCACAAACATTCAACAACATCAAACTTGACGACACACATGGTTCCACGACTGTCTACAAAACTCCTTCCTTTTGGTGAATTTATTCTAGTCTCCGCAGTTTAACTTCCGGAGGAATAATCTCCTTGTATGGTCGATCCTTCTCTCTTGTTTTTCTCGGGGGTTTTCCGAATGCTTCGCCTTCTTCGCCATGTGATTTCAGTATGTTGAGAGGAGTTCGAGCATTCTGTGTTTGGGATGAGTTCTCCATCATTGGCTCGTATTCGTGGGGTTTGAAGCTTGCAGATCGTCTCCTCGGTTGCGACCTGTGAACCAAAAAAGAAAGAGTTGTTACGCCAAATTCTTTTGAAATGTCGATACTTTTCTCAGCAATGGCAATGTATTCATCAAAACCTCATTCCTTTCTTCTCTTTGCTTTCATTTGCATCCTTTGTCGATCCAGTAACAGAACCTGTAGCTGCGAAGTCACATAACTATCTTAAACACGACTGTGAAAAGGGGAAAGAGTCGATGAAGAACAGAGTTGCAGGCATTTACATCGACTCCTTTTAGTTGGTTTTCTGTTCCTATCGCAAAGCTTTTCAACATTGCTGGATTTCACCAAGGGCTGCTCTGCGCTTTCCACTCCTTCCTGAACCCAATCAGAACAATTTACATGGAAAGCAATGCAAGAAAACCCATTTACCAGTGCTCTCAAAGGGTACACAATCAAGAGTAGAGATTACCTTTAACAGTGAACCATCGTTTTCATTGTCCGCATCTTCAATTCCCTGCAAATAAGATTTGTAATAAAACAGACCATCTGATAACTACAACACACAAATCTACCAACACCGTTGTTAATTATGACTGAGTATCGAATACGACCTTAGATTTGAAGCATACCTTCACTTCAGAGTTCTTCCCCTGAAGCAAGGCAGCCTTGCATAAAATTTCATGCTGCAGAGCTTTCATCTGAGATGAACATCCCAGAAATAGTAAGTTAAGATAATGAAGGTTAAATTGGAGTTCACATATACCATGGCTCTATCCTCCAAAGAGGTGGAAGCACCAAGATGCTTTCAACCTACCTTTTCATTCCCTAAATTAAGCTCCTGCAAAATCAGCAACACATACTGTCATGTCATATCTTATCATTGTTTATTGCAAAGTGACAGATATTCAAAATGCAGCTTGGAAACTTACCGCCAGCATCTGGCTGTTTGATTGAGCAAGATTCCAGTTCTGTTGTTGCAGTTTCTCTATATTGGCTCGCAACCTCAGCAGCTCAGCTCCACTCAGTTCAATCATTTTACTTTTCAGGTTTCAAATTAAAGGAAAAGGCATAATAAAGGTTCATGATGGAGGGAAATCTATTCACATTTGCGCCATGTAATGGTCCTTGAGTTCATTAACTTCATGAACTGGAATGAATTGTGTTATCAAAACCACACAAAGAAATCAGGAAAAAAAAATTAAAACAGTGAGGGCTAAATTAAACTTCTAAATTAGAAAGGGGTAAATTTAACGAATCATACATACTTAAAAAAAAAAAACGCTCACTCCGATCTTGACCAATATTTGATATGTACGGAGATAAAACATGCACAATATCAAAGGTAGTAAGAAATCTTGCCAAAAAAAATATATATATATATATATATTCAGGATACTCTCTTTCTGCTACAAGCTGCATCAGAGCAGCTTTTTCCTGCAACAGAAATTCATGTTGAAATAAATAAATAAATAACGGCTACTAATACTTCAAAAACGAATAGAACAAAGAAGAAAAGATGTACCTGTAAGAGTTGCTCAATGCAGTTCTTATCGGCAGGCTTTTCTGCTTGATTGCAGACTTTTGGTTGCATTTGTGTGTTGGTAATATCAAAAAGCTTCTTCCGCACTAACTTTGCAATAGATCTCTTCACCACCATTCTCCCCTCCTATTCCCACACAACTCAACTCTATGCAGAACCAAATTTAGTTTCACTTATCCCCAGTTTGATTCATAGAAAGTGAAAGAATTTAAAGAGACAGGGCTTCATTTCAAAGTCATGTGGAGTAGGGGTATAAATATAGATAGGGTTAAAGTTGAAGCGAACGACACACAAGCAATTGGTGTTCAACAGAAAAGATATAAAAATTGACCAGTGACTATAGAAAAAGAAAGATGGGAATCGCTGGATACATAGACAGATAAAATACAAAAGATGAAAACAAGTCTGGATGGAATCTTTTGAGCTTCTTTCGCTCCTATACTCCCGCTTCGGTCATTCTTTGAATCTAAAGATTGCAGAACAACGTAGGATGGTGATATAATGTGAAAAGGGAGCAGAAGAATATAAGAAAGAAAAGAAGCCAAAGATAAAGAAAGGAAGAGACGCAGATTCTGCAATCTTTAGACCAACGGAAAATTTGAATATTTCAAAGCGTTTCAAGCTTCGGTTAAAATTTGCGCGGGCACGAAGATTTTCACTCCAACGCCAAGAAATTTAGAATAGGCGCTCCAGTTACTGAACTTCTAATGAGAAGCATAAATTACAATTGTACTGTTAAGCTCTGTTGTTCGTACGTCATGGAAATCCCAGATTTTCTCGCGCAAGACATTGTAAGGTGTCATCCAACGTATGAATATTGCTATTCAGCGTGATGATCTTATACAAGTATTTAATGCCTACGAAACAACCGTAGACAATCATCCTCGATTGAACGTTGTTGACTTTATCCATCGCACAAAAACACAGGCACAATAGCAGTTACAGAAGACACTACATTGTATATATGATGTTCATATGTACATCGACATGATGTCTAATTATAGCTGCAGTTAGTTTTTTTTAAAAAGAGTTGCTTTCATTTTACAATCTTGGATGAGCAACCGCTTTTAACCACAGCTCAGGAAAAAAGCAAAAATATTCACAAAGCACCATTTTTGACGTTAGATTGGCATGCCAGTATCTCAACCTGCGGGTAGAAAGAGGGCATGCATTTCTGGCAGACCTCAAGCTTTTACACTCTTAGATTTGGTGATCTCGTGACTCGTGCTACGACCAGAACAAAATTGGCTTAATTTTTCTGACGTAGTCCATCTACCTTAGCCACAAATAAACAGCCAGTATTAAGCGATGCACTCTAAAAGAATCAAATCGCAGAAGTTCCAATAAATGATGGCATGAAGTATATCACCAAAGAAACAAAAAACAACGAAAGCAAAGAAATCATGGCATGCAAGGCAACGATGTTGAACTATAAAAACAGTCAATTTCTGGTCACACTATGTTATGATGGAAATGAACGGCCTCTAAATTTTTCTCCAGAAGGTCTGTCCAAAATGCTAGCTATTTAGTTCAGATGAAATCATTCCAGTGCATCAACATCACCGGACCATTTGTAATGGGCGCCTTCAAAATTTCTTGTTAAATATTGCTAAATTATTTGTTGGTAGTTGATATATTTATTGGCAAATAGTCTTGGGTGGTAGACTTATGCATTCACCCAATTAGTATTTACTCTTGTAGTTGCTAGGTTATTCATCTTCCTATATATATATTCTTGTGCTTCCACTCTCCAAACATAAATCAAGAGAAAGTGCATTATATTTCTTTATTTTACATCTCTTAAGAACACGCAGGAGACTGTCAGTTTTCCAGACTCAACCAGATCCTTGCCCCAAAAAAAATCCCGCACCATATGTCTACCAGACTTCTGTTTAATGAACTATACCATTGGATGCTTTTCATTCAAACATGTTAATTCTTACATTAACCTCAGCAAATTATGCCAAAAAGAATATACAAGTCTTCTGGGGATAGAGTCCTAAAGATACCTGCAACCGATTATTTGTTGATGAAGAAGTGAAGAAGATATGCTGCTTTATTGCGAATCTGTAGAGCCAAAATTTATTTCTATTATTAGATCATTAACTTAATAAATCAATGGTTAAAGATGAGAGAAAGTTTGATTACAAACCTTTGATGCATGAGAGCGTAGGTCTGTGCTGGAGATTAAACTAGAACAATTTTTAAGGTAATGACAGAACATCTCATAAAGTACTGGATTGTCTTCAAACACTGGGTTAGACAAGATCCAATTCTCTGCCAAAGCTAAGTATATGTACATCTTAAAGAGGTCAACGCTCTTGTCTTTCAAATTAATTGCAACTAGTGATCTAAGTATCTCATCTCCACTGCTGACCTGAGAAAAAAATATAAATAGGTAATCTCAATATCTAAGGAAAATAGGACCAAATATCTGACACTTGCATAATTAATTTGCTAGCAGCCTCCGAAAGATTCTAGCATTTAGAAAGAGTGCATGGTCTACCATTTTAAGTCACTCATTGGCTTTCAGATTACAATAAACTGACGGACATTCAATCACCAGTGATAGACTATAATTAAGGAAGAACTCACAATCCCCAGGCTCTGGCTTATTTACTTGCAAGAATGCTTAAATAGAAGAGGTAAGGAAATTAAAATTTAACAACATCTATTATTTATATATATATATATAATATATTATATTACAAAAGATGACTGCTCAACTATAAAATAAACAAAGGATGACTTTTCACTTAAAGTACGATGCTTATCAGTCATAGTACCTCTTGACAGATAATCAAATACACACACATTAACACTCCAAAACAAATGATTATATTTCTAAATTATGTTATACTTGCAACCAATAATTAAAGCGTAGTGAGCTTTGAAACAAGTAACAGCAATGGATACACCAATAACTTGCATGCCATATGCAAACTCTCAGTGATTTGAACTTTCATTCTACACTTTATAATCACAAGCATCATTAACCTTGGCAGGCAAGTAACGTACTCCATCAAAACAAGGAAGCAAACTTTCATAAGCCACAGCACTACGAAGTTGTTTACAGCGAGAGCTGACTTCTGAAATGCATTCAACAGCCTGAATGCAATTCAAATCCTTTGAGACTCTGCATATCCAATAGAGAATGAAAAAGAGAGAGAGAAAAAAAAAGCAAGCAAAATTAGAAAATACGCATCATCATGCTCCTCTAAGGAACACTATTAGTTAAGGTGTACCATTAATAACAATCATAACCCAATAAGGAACTTGAAAATGTATAAAACATAGGATCTTAAGAGTAAGAATTAAGTATCTTCTATATGGAAAGAATATCTTCTCCAAGCAAATTCTAGATTCTCAGATACATATTTCCTCACCAACACAGAAAAAATCACCACCATTGAAGACAGAACTCGGTGACTAGCACCAACTTCATCATGATCCTAACACCAGCAGATCAACTGTGCCTACACGATACTGCCAAGTGTGACTATCATGAACAGATCATTTTAGTACAATGGTACACAAGGATGCCCATAAATTTGCAGCAACCATCCCTTGTAACCCATTGAATACATTATATCCTTTTTGAAGCCCATGACAATACCCCAACAAAGGCTCATCATTCATCAATAGATAATTTATAAATTATATACTTGCAATAACATTAACTTTAGTAGATACCAAGTACAATAGGAAATATCAGGCTGCCAATTGAAAAGTGTTGATAAATGAGCAAGTTAGCAACCAAGTACAAAGCAAGAATGTTCTTTAGTTTTGCCAGCATAAAACCCCAAAGCACAAAAAAAAAAAAAAATCAATAACCTGCAAGCAATAAATTTTGCTATATTTTCACAACTTGAACTCCACTCCTGGTCTGTGAAGTAATTGACAATCGCTTGCATGCAGTCGTTCAGAATTATCAAAAGGCCTTGAAGTTGGCGATCCAAAAATAGACATATAATAACTTCAATTATCTCTTCAGCTTCTACAGCAGAGAACATAGCTTTTTGACTCCTGAAATGACCACCAAGAGATGTGATTTTTTTAGCATCTCAACTTCCGGTTAGTTTCACATGACATCAATAGGCAATGTTACATATGCAACCAAGAAGTCAGTTGACATCCCATAAAAGAAATGACGCCATGCACATAAACTCCATAATTTCGTTTAGGGAAGTCCTAAGAAGAATCACTATTACTTACCTTATCAGACAACAAGCAGTTACAAATCTGACCCAAGCCCTGATATTTTGGGGTGGCCCTCCAGGACTCGAATCTAGGGAAGTTGGAGACTACCATTGTCAGAAACACAGTAAAATGCAGCACAATATTTGTAAATTCCACATGACATGATACAGAAGTACAGTCATCAATAAATCAAGTGAGATTGGAAAACAAAGTTGATTATTATCATTAAAATACTTAGCTCTACTATATACATTAACTACCAATTAACCAGATATTTTGATATCTCTAGATGCCTTTTGCAATTAACAGTGCCAAAAGGTCTAACCTAGAAGAGTTTTATGTCACCCAGAATTGCTAAAATTAAAGTAATTCTTACTTATTATTTTACCATGAATGTAGTCCACCTTCCAAAGTCGTGTACCTGGATGTTACTAAAACAAATTTGAGAGTTACCCGTATCCACAGTTTCAGCACTTGATGAAAAGTTGAAGAGAAACCCATAGATGTCAAGAGCTGTTCTCAAATCTTTATAGCTGGGAAACCAATCGATCTTGACAGTTAATTGGCCGTCCTAGTAATGAATGATAATTAATCCCAAATATGATAAAGCATCCAAGAATAAGGAAAATAGCTGCTCTGGAATCTTTTTTATCGATAGTGTAATCATCCATTGTATGAGTAGAAACATAAACAAGTTTACCTCTTTAGTAGATGAAAGAATTGCACACCAAAAATCACATGTACAAGTTTGCATCTCTTCTTTTGTTGAATATAACACTGAAAGAAAAGTGTTAAGCAGCCATAAGATAACATTGTCCCTATGATAAAACCAATAAAATCACCATGCAATTCTTCTACTCACTTTTATTGAACGCCCAGATAGCTATTGATTTTTCTACATGTTGGCACAAGAAAACCAATTTTGGAAGCCACCCATTGATTAATAAACCTTCAAGAAATTTGTCTCCTGAAGGAATATAAAATTTTAAATGAGTTAATGCTTAACGCAAGCAGCCACTGATTTTTCTACATGGTGACACAAGAAAACCAATTTTGGGAGCCAGCCAATAGCCATTCATTAATAAACCTTCAAGAAAGATGTCTCATGAAGGAATAAAAAAGATTAAGTGAGTCAATTCTTAAAACAGGCGAAGCCACTCGCCGATTAATAAACCTTCAAAAAAGATGTATCCTGAAGGAATACAAAAGGTTAGCTGAATCAATACTTAAAACAGGCCTGTTTGTTTCAGGCACTAGCATATAAACAATATACTGACATAACACTGGCTGAAATCAGGATTTTGAAGACTAATGAGATGATTAATTGACAATAGTCAATGTACATTGATTAAAATATCTGGCAGATAAAACATCAGAGAGACCTTTCTCTGTGGTCAATTCCACAACAGAATTAAGATTGTTGTTCACAAATGATTGTACGATGTTGCAACTTTCAAGTTCAGAGAAATCCAGAGGAGGAAAGGCTTTCTGCAGGTCATAGAATGGAGATTTAATAAATCAAAAAATATGAACAAAATTTAGGAAATAAAGTAGTGAACCATATATAAGAAAGGACTGAGTTTTGACTCGGATAACCTGGTCTCCAAAAGCTGGCACTCCCCAGCGGAAGATTTCTTCTTCGCCACCTAATTCGTTCATCTACATTAATGGGACAGCAAGTCATCATACAAGGGCAACTTAAATATGTCAGCAAAGTAGAAGTGAATGAGGGAAAAAATTATTTTGCCTGCTTTTCACATTTCTCAACAATCTTGGACAGCATAGCTTCATTGTTATATTCATCATCATCCTCGTGGCTATTCTTCCGGGCCTTGGCCTTTTTGGACTGCTTCTCTTTAAGCTTATTTTGCTCTATGTAATGATCATTAAGAAGATCATCCAACCCAATAACCTTCTTCCTGGTTATAATTCAAGTGTTAATAAATTAACTTGCTACCGTAAAAAGCCAGAATGGGGCCTCGCGTGCAATTTATCAAACCCGCTATGAATGAAATAGCATCAAAGTTTTAATTTTTCATCTAATGAAGCATAAACCCTCAGAGAGCAAGTCCTTGATTAGCATAATAGTGGGGAAAGGATAAAAACCTTTTCTTGTTGTTGGTGGATGGGACCTTGAGAAGCTGGTCTTCTCTCTCGAAATCCAGAGGATCGTCCATGTTGATCATTTGAGTCAGGTAAAGACTATACTTTAGGTTTTTATAAAATCCTTCCTTCGGATGAGAAGCGCCAAGGCGGTAAAGCACTTCAAAAGCTTGGTGGCATTTTATCTGTGATACGACTTCGGTCCGGGCCAACCCGTGAAACCTTTGCTGGCCGAGTTTGTTTTTGGCGGGGAACATCAGAAAACCTTCTGGTATCCACGTGTTAGAGATTGGAATTGGGGGGAGGGGAGGGGGGAGGAACATTAGGTGCTAGGATTAGAAGTGTTGCTTAAACCTATTTCAATTGACTCAATGTTACCTCGATCATATCATGGCAGATTTTGTCTCAACTCAAAAATAATCAGAACAGAACTTTACAAAATGAAACAAGAAAAGAGTTTGGGACGAGATGGGATACGGGGTTACCATTGGGACGTCCCGTCCTGTCTTGAATATTATCTATATTATTTTTTATTTTAAATATATTACTCATATTAATATAATTTAGATTTATATTAATTATATTAATATAATTTATTCTCATATCTATATATTTAATAACTTTTATTTATATCGTGTTTCTTGCTTTATTTTCAGAAGAATAATTAGCTTAACACATATCAACTAGAGTAAAAGAATAATGATTTGATGTTGTGCTTGACTTGCTTGTTGTTGCTACTCTTATAACCTAAAGATCACTTGTATTTGCTATTAAAATGTGTAGTTGTGATTAATGTAATTTAGTAATTGACTTTAAATTGCTGTGATTTATGTACTTGTGTTGTTTTGATTTTAAATTTAATTTTATATAATTTAAAATTTTAATGGACGTTATGATCTATATCTTTCTTTGATATTATCCGATTTATCAAAACGGCAAGACGTCTCGATCTAGTTCCGATTTCATCCCAACTCCTAATGGGATGGGATGACTCTCGGGACAAGACGGGAACCGATTCAAAATTCAGTCTCAATATTTTTTAAAGATAAGGGCATCCTGATCTCATCTTATCCCATGAACACCCCTAATTATAATCACTAGCAAAAACAGGTGATTGGCCATTTTCATAATATGCTCTGCAAATAATAAGAAGGCTTATCAAAATAATAATGACAATTGACCAAGTGAGTGTGGCACATGGTAATTGGTAGCAATCTGGTCCTTTAATTATCATTTCAAAGTTCAATTATTAAATGTGTGTATGAAGAGCATTATTTTCTTAAATAGTGCTAAGATTTCTTGAACAATTAGTTTCATGATTGCTAGCTATGGTTTACTTTGACAAAAAAAATGACAATTAACGTCATCAACTTCCTAATGAAAAACATTAACTTGAAAATGCTCATTAAAAAATTCAATGAAAAAGAGGCCAAGATAATGTATAAAAAAGGAAAACAAAATTGAGATCAAAGGACTCAACTTGGTGCGTGTAATATACACATTGATATTACGAGCACAAAACCAGACTTACATCACATAATGGTAATCAGGAGTCATTAAAACTCTAAACTTACCTTAATCAATGAGGGTTAAAAGTAATTTATAAGTTTTGAAAATAATTGAGATTTCAAGACCTTTCAAATTGTTAATTTGAGCTTAGACATAAGTTTTTTTAAGTGCCTGAAGTATGAAATAATATAAAAGTGAATTACACAAGAAAACAAAGGTAGGAAGGTCATTTTTGCCCATTCAAGTACATATGATGTTGCTTATGTGCCATATATTGTTGCGTGTGGCATGGAAAGCCAATACTTGTCACTGTGTCATGCTATGACATGTCACCATGCCCTGTGACACGTATAATTTTTTATGATAGCATTTTGCTATCATGATTGCTTGCCGTGCGAACTCTTAGTGTACGCTATTTTCACACTCGATGTTCAATTAAAGTGATTTGAATGCTCACACAAAACTTATTTAATAATCTAACTAAGAGCATAGATTTTAGTTCAATCTATGACTGATTTGAAAATTGGATACTCAAATGCCAAGTGATCATTTCTATGTCATTTTCATGCATCCAAGTGCCTCGACCAACAAACTTGTGCCAGTAACCATGACTGGGGCTTAAATCACATATAATGAACCAGGGTGTACCTAAATGAATTGTTATAACAACAATAATTTATTTCAAACCAAATTTAGCTACCCAAAAGCTTGAATTCTTACAAAATAGGACCATATTTCACGCTTACATATAATCTATCCCTTGGCAAAACATTTTACATCATACCAATTCAAAATATACTCAATATGAACTTGTACTAGTATCTCAATTCCCTTGCCATGTGCATCACAAGCACATATATCCTAGTCTAAGATACCCACAATATCAATTTGTACAAGTACAGACCAAAATACATATACTTTTTTAATTGGTAAACTATATACTTATAATAACATTCATATACACAAAACCAAATAGCTAAAGCACTACAAGTAGATGTCCCACTACTCATTGCCTGTGTCTTTTCCTCAGCCCTTATTTTCCTCCGAACTTGGAATAGAGGAAAACAAAATCTGAATAACGAAGATAATTTATAAATATTTATTAATAAGTAAAGCTAAAAAAATACATAAAGCAGGATAATAAAACATGTGCTATAATATATAACATCACGATATCACATGCATGATCATAATATTAACTCGAACATTTGCAACAATCTTTGACGCTATAATACTAGCCAAATCTAAATAGCCAAGACCAACTCACCTTCTACGGGAGAATTGCTTGGCTAAATACATTCTAACCTACTTCCAAACTATGAACTCCATCTATTATACTTGATTAGGGTGTTATTTACTCTAACTCTATACTCTCTCAAGTGCTAAAGAGTATACATCATGGCTAAATTTCCCGTGATAACATTGCATAATATGTTTGGTACAATAGATGTCCTGTGGTGTTAGCCTAATCATGTGAATTTCAAACATTATATTATTTTGGGTGAACTCTCACCCTCTAATGATTATGACTCTCCCACATAATACAGTCAATGTACTCTATCATTTAACCTTTAGTTAAAACTCATCTAATGAAACATATTAGTTTCTCTAAAAAAATTATTTTTCTTTTCCAATTCTGCAAGTTATGAAATCATGAAAATATATAACGTCAGATATTTAATTTCATGAAAAACTTGTAAACAATTTCACATGTCAATAAACAATATAAATTATCCTGTTATATCAACTCTTTAGGTACACAAAGGTTACCCATGGACCGTGGTAATTCAAGCACTCCAATAGTTCCTTCAACCTCATATGTTCCAATTTGTAAAGTCTATAATGTTAAATTAAACACTATATATTAATTTGCTAACTTATTCATAAGTATTTTTAGCTAAATTTAGTTAAGTTTAGCTATCTAGAACACCTAACTTTTATTATTGAGTTAATTAAAACTACAACCAACTCATATTATCTGTATTCTACGCTTAAAAAGCTAAACTATTCACTTAATCGTCTCCCACGACTTCAAAACCCTAAATTCCAAGCTAGGGTTTGTCTAAAAAAACACGATAACTACTCCTTATAAAATAACTTATTCAAGATGAAGAAACTCAAATCAAGCTCCCTTAATAACATGTAAGGTTTAAATTTATCCCATCTCTAACTCCGATCATGTCTACCTATTATCTATAATCCAAAAAAATAAAGTAAAGGTGGAAGAGAGGAGTATGAAGCTTATCCAAGTGATTGACAATCTAAGTTGGCTCCTAATTGCTTCCAATTTGAAGCCTTAACAAAGGTTTACCTAGTCTTCCTTTATGCTCTCTCTAATTCTCATGCTTCCTTTTGATTTTTTGGACCTAGTTCGCGTATTAATTGTCTAAAATCCACAATGTGCACCATGGTGCATTGTGACATGTCGTGGTAGGTGGCATAGCACTTTCCCTTTGGCTCCTACTCGTAGACCTAGTTTGCCCAACTTTCATCCTAGCTTGATATTGAAGCTGTCCAGTAATTCAAAATATTAATTAATAACCCGATATCATGAGCAACTTAATTAATCAACTATTTTACTAATTCATCCTTTAATAATTAGATTTTAGATTTAAAACTTGGGATGTTATCTCATGAAGGATTGAGGGCCTTGGATCGGGATTGAAATTGGACAATGCTGACTTTTTATGTTTGTTATGGAATAATGAAAAATCAAATCTCAATCCCAATTTTATGTATATGGGATTATTCAATGGCACCATGGCCCTGGCATTGAAAACTCATCAGTGACAAATTACTCTCAAGTCTTAACCTTATCCCTTTGTTATCTCTTTCACCACTTATTAAGAGCTTACTGGGCAGCCATAGGGGGAGGTGTGGATTGAGCAGCAACACAAACAATGTTGTATAGGCGGGTAAGCACTTGAGATGAAGGGACTATAAGTGTGTAACAATGATTAGATGTGCAGGCAAGATGACGACTGGGCAAAGTGGATGAAGAGATGGTAATTGCAATTGGGTGTGTGGGCAAAACGATGAATAAGGAATGAGAAGTGGCAATATGCAAGGTACAAATAAAGCAAACCATTGAGCAGCGATTGACACGAGAAAAATGAATGTGTCTACATTTGACCATTTCTCTTTGTCCCAAACACTAGTTCATTTGAAGGTAGCAAAAACATTTAGTCATTGTTCAACATTGGTTAAAGTTTGAAAAAAGAATGGGATGAAGAATATGAGGGAAGTTATGTACTTCCTGTAATTTTTGTTTGATTTGAGTCATCCCATGACATGCCAAAATATCATTTTAAGGTCATTCCCACTCTCAATCTCATTACCAGCCCTTTAAAATTTAATATCCCATACTAAACAGGGCCTAAAAGTTTAGTCAGAAATGATCATCATTTATAATTTATTTTTATTACAAGTTCCAGAAATATCATTTTTCATATTGTTCATTTAGCATTGACAATAATGATGAATGAAACATTTTAAATCGTGAAAATATTTTAATCAACTCGATAGTTCATCGTAGAAGTGTATTCTTGAACTTAATTATGCTATGCTTTGACTGTTGACAAATTCAAATTGGATACGTGAATTAATTTGGAGAAATCTGCATATTTTTTATTTTTAAAGAAGTACAGAGGGCCTGCCTAATCAATAGAGAGGGTTAAAAACAAAGCCTACCCACCAAAAAAAGAAAGCGAGTTAGTCTAATCGAACGTATGTTTGTTTTAGCAAGTGGTGGGTTGAGCAAACAAAGTATAGTGCTTCACCGCAATCCACGTCTGTGCCCAGTGCCCACACTCCCAAACACTTTCAAAAACCATAATCATCTCTCTTCCTCGTAAACAGACCCAAATGCAAGAGAATATGACATAGAGATGAGAGCATGTTTGATATATGTTCTTGGAACAATTTTTTGTTTTAAAAATAAAAAATTGTTTGAAAATGTTTTTTATATTACCTACTCTAAAAAATAAAAAAGTTAAAAGTTATTTTTGGAAAACTAAAAAATTGAAACATCTTTTAGGTGTTTTATTAATTTTTGTCCTGCAAAATTCAAGAAAATGCAGAAAATATTATGTTTTATTAAAAACAATTATACTATAATGATGACAACAACAAGAAGTCTTATCTCACTATATGTGATCGGATTCCTTGTCATACCTGTAGTTTGTTTGGTCTCAGAGAGACTCTGTTGAAAGACGAATGGTAGATGGACCTCGTCAGCATATACCAGAGAGGGCAGCTCGTGTTTTCCTCACATAATAGAAGCAACCCAAATAATAATAATAATGACCCTATTTTCAGGGGCAACAAGCATATATGACCGAGCCATGAGCATGATATTCCTATTGAGAATTGACAAGAAGTGAGATTGAAGGCAGAAAAGCAAACAATGATTGTTGATAAGCGGAGATCCACAGTACGCCAGTGAAAGAACGCCCATAAATAAACCATTCAAGGGTCGAGCACATACACTGTCAGGAGTACATGAGAAGATGTTCCCACTTCCCAGAGCCAAACCCCTTTTCCATTTCCACCTTTTTATCCTCTCGTAATTGCTAAGATTATATGGCCATACCATGTGCTGACCCAGCTCATGCCACCTCCATCCACCTTTCTCCTCACCTTCACCTCCACTCCTTACTTCTCGGTGATATCTACAATCTAAATCTACATTTTTAAGGAACCTATTCAATTCCCTTTGCTGGATGAGCAGTATAAATGGAAAACAAACAGGGTCCCATGGAGCATGCTTTTTTCCTTCTCTCTCTGTGGATCTTTACTATTATCATTGCGTTCAAGCTCGAAAAGTACTGGGTCACATATTCCAATTATGGCCCCTTGCCCCCTCGTCATGCTCCTATTGTAAAAATCTTGGTCGGTGAAATTGTAAGTATGGGTTAACACTGAAAAGGACATGTCTTTTTCAATGCCTGCATCTTGAGAGGTGGGATCAGTGTAGCAGTTGTCCCCTCTTGTCCAAAGCTATTATTGGCAAAGGGAAGATAGATTTTTTTAGCATTAATGTAGCAATGCTGACACAGTCTGGGTATGAAGTATGATATGAGAAAATATAACGTTGTCCTCGTTTTATAACCATACTGCTTTTCTATATATATATATATATATATTTTGTATTGTCAATTTTGTGATTTTTTTTAAACGCCACCAAATTTGTCAAGTTGAAGGATTTGGACTTGTCAATATAGCCCATGACCTCCCAACTGGTTAATGGAGGAAAACTCCTAGCTTGAAGGAGAATAAATTGAACGAAAATGCATTGCAAGTTTGGTGAGTACGTACCAAATTAACACTAATTATGGTGAATAAGGTGGCAAAACACTGTTAACCATTACAATGTGGCTGTTTGATTAGGTGGGAGAATCTTCCTAATCTGTCACCCAAGTAATGTTATGAAAAGGTGGGCATAATTACATCCGAATGCAGCAGCATTATTCAGATTCCCCCGGATCGCCATTTTTACTAGGAGAAAATTTGGAGTGATGGTGGGATTGGGAAGTCTTGTTGAACTATAAATCATTAAAGACAGTGAAACAATCGAAGGTGGAATTATAAAAGAATGGTTATAGGTGATTCTGATATGCACAGTGGGACTTTATTTATTTTTCTAATCATTAGCATTATTATTGGAGCCACGACCCTGTTCCATTACCTTAATCCTAATCTAATCTCGAGAAGATTCATAATCAGGTCTGCCTTGGAATCCCTATGCCATTGACCAAACACCATTTTATTTGTCCAATTATAATAATGACTCTAAGATAAGATGTGGTTCTTGTTAAGGATATAGTCCAACATATCCAAACCAAGCCCATCATAAGTTCAAGCCCAAGTATAAAGTCTAAAGATATTAGGTTTAGCACTACAGAACATACTAGAATAAAGCATGTCATCTAGATATTTTATAGTGCTCTTCCATTAGGTTGACACGTGTATAGTAGTCATGCTTGTACCATATTGTGTAGTGCTCTGCCAGTATGTATATATGCGTACAGTGTATCAATCATTGGTAATGCAATAATACTACACTTTTCCAGCCAATATTTCTTGTCTCTTTGCTTTTCTCTAACTTGGTATCAGAGCTATGGCTTTAACCTCAACACTGCTTTCCTCCTCCGCATCACCTTCAAGCACCACCGTGCCTCCCCACACCCCTAACATTGCATCTGTCACTGTTACTCTTCCAAAAATTCCTACCCTTATGTCGTTAAGCTCTCAAGCTGTCTCTGTTAAGCTGGATAGAGACAACTATCTTCTTTGGCAAACCACCATTCTTCCTATTATTCGTGGTTACCGTTTAGAAAGCCACATTTCAGGGGCAAAGTCGTGTCCCTCTGAATATATCTTTGAGAATGATGAACTCACAATCAACCCTGCCTTTCAAGATTGGGATGCTAATGACCAAATGCTAATGGGATGGTTATACAACTCCATGACAGTTGAAATTACTGCTCAGCTCACTCACTGCAAGTCTGCCTTTGAGTTATGGCAAGCTGCCAAGAATCTTGCTGCTGTAAGTTTAGGCTCTCGTGTTTTGCTGCTCAAGTTAGAGCTGCATCAAACTCGCAAGGGCTCGCTCAAAATGCATGAATATCTTTCAAAGATGAAGATAATTTCTGATAACTTGCTTATGGCTAGTAGTCCAATCTCCATTATTGATCTTGTTACTCAAGTTCTTGCAGGTCTTGATTATGATTATAATCCAGTTGTATGTCAACTTGTGGATAAGAAAGATATTACATGGGTAGAGCTTCAAGCTACTTTGCTCACTTTTGAGAGCCGTCTTGAGCAACTGACTCATCTTACCTCTTCCATGAATGCTTTCACCGTTACTAGTCCTTCTGCCAACTTTGTTCAAGGACGTGAAAACAATCGCGGTCCCTGGAGAGCTGGTTTAAATAGGAGCAGGGGAGGACGTGGAAGAGGAAGGATGCCAAGGAGCAATGGTGGTCGCATTGAGTGTCAGTATTGTAGGCGCTTTGGACATTCTGCTGCGGATTGCTACTATCTAACTCAAAATGTTCAAAGGCCTGCTTCAACTGGAAACACAAATCTACGGGGACCTAATACTCCTCCCTACTACAATGCCTTAGTTGCAACACCTAATACAGTTCATGATCAAACGTGGTACATGGATAGTGGAGCCAGTCATCATATCACTAATGATGTTCAAAATGTTGAGCAAGCAGTAGGGTATCTAGGTAAAATTACAGTATATGTTGGTAACAGACAATCTATCCCAATTCTAAGTAGTGCAGACAGTAACATGAAGTGTTTTAATGGTACAAAGGTTTTACTTAAGAATGTTCTATATGCTCCTTATATCACTAAAAATTTAATAAGCGTTGCAAAATTGTCCAGTGATAATGCTGTACTTGTGATTTTTTATTCAAAGATGTGTTATGTGAAGGACAAGAGGACAGGAGAAATACTGTTGCAAGGAACACTTGATGAAGATGAAGGGCTCTATAGGATTGATACAAACAGAGGACCATGGACTGCTGTAGTTTATAAAGTTACCTTAGGACGTAGAATACAATCTTATAATGAGCTCATAGAATGGCATATTAGACTTGGCCATCATTCATTTGCAATTTTGTCCAAAGTTTTACATGATTGTAATTTTGAAATCGGCAATAATATACCTTTGTTTTGTGAAGCTTGCCAATATGGAAAATTCCACAAATTACCATTTAATCCATCTGATTCACATGCTTTTTGTCTACTTGAACTCATTCACTTAGACGTGTGGTGTCCTGCTCCCTTAAATTCAACAAATGGTTTCAAATATTATATACATTTTATGGATGATTTTAGTAGGTTTACTTGGATATACCCGCTGCGAAACAAAGGAGAAGTGAAAGCTGTGTTCATACAGTTCAAGAATCTGGTTGAAAATCTATTCAACAACAAGATTAAAATGTTTCAATGTGATGGCGGAGGTGAATACTAAGCTTTACAAAGCATTTTTCATGAAGCAGGAATTCAATGTAGAATGTCTTGTCCATATACCTCAGCACAAAATGGAAGGGCCGAAAGAAAACATCGTCACATAGTGGAAATAGGTTTGAGCATGCTTGCACAAGCAAATATGCCATTGTATTATTGGTGGGAAGCTTTTCAAACCTTTGTATACATTATTAATATGCTTCCTACTGATGTTATTGCAGGTACAAGTCCTTACCATGTTCTGTACAAGAAAACTCCTAATTACAAGAGCTTAAGAGCTTTCGGTTGTGCTTGTTATCCCAACCTTCGACCTTACAATCATCACAAATTGGAGTTTCATTCTACCAGATGCGTTTTCATAGGTTACAGTGGATAACACAAGGGTTATAAGTGCTTAAGCTCCTCTAGAAAAATTTTCATTTCCAGACATGTGACATTTAATGAGAAAGATTTTCCCTTCTCCAAAGGCTTTATCAACAAATCTCAACCTGTTATTGTAACTTCTCAAATGACTGATTCTTTTCCAATCAGTTTCTAACAATTTCAGATGCCTAGCTCAGATTCCACTACTCGAATTGGGCCAGGAAATCCACTAACTGCTAATGATATTCAGATTACAGAGAATCTAAATATAGCTGTCTCCCCTAGTTCTGCATCTCAGCATGTTGGACAATTAAATTCTGCTGAAGATAACTTGACAAATAGCAAAAATGTCAAACCTGATAATCTTAACAGCAACAGTGATAATTCACAAAGTTCTATGCCAACTCCTAATATTCCAATGTCAATGAACTTAGAATCATCAAGTACAGAATCAGATATTGCTCCTCCGCTTGGTCATCCCATGATTACAAGATCAAAAAGTGGGATAGTTAAACCTAAATATCCTTTTATTGGAATTACTTCAACGGCATTAGATCATTCTAAGGAACCTTCCACTGTTCGAGAGGCTCTTTCTATTCCACAATGGAAAGAAGCTATGATCAAAGAACATACAGCTTTAATGAAGAATCAGACATGGGATCTAGTCCCATTTAACAATCAAAAAGTTATTGATTACAGATGGATCTTCAAGACTAAGTATATATCTAATGGAGTAGTTGATAAACATAAGGCAAGACTAGTTGCCAAAGGTTTCCAACAAGATGCAGGAGTAAATTTTGGAGCAACTTTCAGTCCTGTAGCTAAGATTGCAACAATCAGAATCATCTTATCCCTTGCTGTGACACTCAACTGGCCATTGAAACAATTAGACATTAACAATGCCTTTCTCAATGGTTTCATTTCAGATGATGTGTTTATGATGCAACCTGAAGGGTTTGTTGATTCAAAGAAACCACACCATGTTTGCAGACTCCGTAAGGCTCTCTATGGTCTTAGACAAGCTCCACGTGCTTAGTTTGATAGATTGAGTAGAGTGCTTCACGACTGGGGATTCTACAACACTAAGAGTGATAACTCTTTATTTGTTCTTACTACTGAGACATATGTGATCATTCTACTCATCTATGTAGATGATATATTGATAACTGGGAGTGAGCCTTATAAATTGCAGAAACTCATTAAAAAACTCAATGATCTTTTTTCCCTTAAAGATCTTGGTGATTTGCATTATTTTCTGGGGTTTGAAGTTCGAAGAGATTCTTATGGCATTTTCATACATCAAAGTAAGTATATTGAAGATCTATTAAAAAAATTCAATATGTTATATGCTGCACCATGTAGTACTCCCATGGCTGGAGGAAAAATCTTAAGTGCAAATGAAGGTGCCCTTCTTAAGGATCCCACAGATTATAGAAGTGCTCTAGGAACATTGCAGTACTTGACAAACACCAGACCCGACATCTCATTTGCTGTAAATCATCTCAGTCAATTCCTCAGTAAGCCCACAACTGAACATTGGAAAGGAGTGAAAAGAATTTTCAGGTATTTGAAGGGTACATCTCAATTTGGCTTGTCTATCACACCTTCTCAGCTTTTAAATATAACAGCCTATGCTGATGCGAATTGGGCAGCTTGCCCAGATGACAGACGATCAGTATCTGGGTATTGTACATACTTGGGAGGTTCACTAGTTTCATGGTGTTCCAAGAAACAAAGTGTTGTGTCGAGATCCAGCACTGAATCAGAATATCGAGCACTCTCTAATATTGCAGCTGAACTTGCCTGGTTATTTTCTTTGCTATCTGAATTAAAAATTTCAAAAATCAAAGTTCCTGTTATATAGTGTGACAGCATTAATGCAGCAGCTCTTGTTGAAAATCCAGTGTATCATGCAAGAACGAAGCATATTGAGATTGATGTGCATTATGTTTGTGATCAAGTGCTAGCTGGGAAATTGAAAATCAAATATGTTCCTTCTAATGAGCAGAATGCCAACTTTTTTACTAAACCGCTATACAGGGCTCAGTTTGTATATCTTAGAGACAAACTCAAAATTCAGTCTTTACCCTCTCGTTTGAGGGGGGTGTTAAGGATATAGTCCAACATATTTAAACCAAGCCCATCATAAGTTCAAGCCCAAGTATAAAGTCCAAAGATATTAGGTTTAGTACTACAGAACATACTAGAATAAAGCATGTCATCTAGATATTTTATAGTGCTCTTCCATTAGGTTGACACGTGTATAGTAGTCATGCTTGTACCATATTGTGTAGTGCTCTGCCAGTGTATATATATGCGCACAGTGTATCAATCATTGGTAATGCAACAATACTGAACTTTTCCAGCCAATATTCATTGTCTCTTTGCTTTTCTCTAACTGTTCTTTGGTTTTATTTTGGGGAAAAACCTTAATGCACAAGCAAATTATTTACTGGTTGTCCTTTACAAAACCATGAAAACTCAGTGCTATCCTGGCATGCTTTGTAAATCATGCGGCGAAAAGCCTCTTGATTTTCCACTCGGGTTGTTTTCATATAGCATTTAATTTTCTTAGCTTGAGGATTTCCCGTATAACTTCATGTTTTACTTCCCTTTTCACCCTGCATGTGTGCGCTCTTAGGAGAGCATGTTCAATTACTTTGTCGTGCACGCGAGAGAGAGAGAGAGAGAGAGAGAGAGAGAGAGAGATTGATTATGAGGGAATCAATTCCACCACTCTTTCCTTCTCTCCTCACCTATCCATATTACTAGTAAGATTATGGGGTCCTATTGCCATTGGCCTTGTCACTGGGCACACAACACAGGGTCAAGTGTGATATGAGCGATAGGTGAAGCAAAGTAGCCAAGCGAGAGCTTTTGCAGACCAATTAAAGTGGTCTGTTTGAGCAGGAAACTTTACAAAAATGCAAAATGCAAAGTCCTACCATCTCACTAATTTATTGCCGCCTTTTTCCTTTAACTTTTTGTGTCCTTCTCCTTCCAATTTATTATAATATTATTATATTATCATCCGTTCACTTTTCAAATCCCCGTCCCATGCCTCCCATCGGAATGGATTTGCGTACTTATCACAGTGATGAACACCATGACGTTTAATATTATAATAAAATTTAAATTATTCAAATTTTGATTTAAATAATCTAAATTTAAAGAATTATTATATATTTTTGTTTTTATCAAAATAAAATTTTATAAAAATTATAAAATAAAATAAATTAAATAAATTTTTTATTTTTAATATGATATAAATTAATTTAAAGGGTCTAATTTAATATCAACAATTTTATAATTAATATATATTCAAATGTATTTTGTATAGGTCGGACTAACACCAAATTAAATCTAAACCATATTAAAAATAAAAATTATTTTATAATTTTTATATAATTTTATTTTAATAAATATAATATATCATAATTTTTTAAATATGAACCATTCAAATCAAAATCTAAATGTAGATGATCCAGACTATTACAATAATGAGCACCATCGCAAACCCAACCTGCCTCCCACCCGTCATGGTTTGCCAGCTAGTAATTACTTGTACTTAATCCCCTCGTTCCAACCCCAGAAATACAACATTGAATGCTGCCGTGCGTCATGGGCTATGAATGAGCATTATCTTCGCCAACAATAATAAGCAGACATATCTTATTCTTATTAATACCATGTTTTACGTTATATCTACTTCCATCATTGCTTGCCGCATTCAATGCCCCGATCAAATCGTGCCTCCTCCCATTCACATCATCGCTCCCATTTTATGCCAAAATTACCACGGTACTTAAAAAGAAAAAAGAAATTAGTTGCAATAGACATGCCTGCAAATTCCAAGAGCATTCACTTGAAACCAGCAGCCCAGAAAGTATGAAACATATGCTCAAACTCCAGTGTCTCCAAACTGCTTTTGATTTTTTTTTTTTAAAAAAAAACAGTTCTTTTCTCATTCTTGCAAAACAAAAACATCGCACATGCGAGCTCCTGAGACGCCCTCGAAGAAAATGACACGCCATTCACAACCCGCTCCTTAAAAAAATTATCGATACGAATAATACAAGTTTTGTTTTTGTGTCAGAGGCATTTGGATTTAGCTAAGACTGCTCGCATTACACTCATTAAACGAAGAGACATGTTTTTTTTAGCTTCAGGCTAGTAAATAAAAAGAAGGGCTAGGTATGCTTGCTCCTCCATTCCGTCTAAAATACAAGTATTTTTTAATAATAATAATTTATATACTAATAAATTTTTTATTTTTGTGAAAATATATAGTATTGTTTTTTTATTTTTATCCTTAGTTTCAATTTAAGTGAGATAAAAGTTATAAACTCGCTTACATGTACAAAAATCTAGGTTAATAAATATAAGAGATTGGATGAAAAAAATCTTATAGATAATAAATTGCTTATATTTTTGACAAGGATTAACTTAGAAAGTAAACTTATACTTTGCATCAAATGAAGTTAAATTTTTTTATTTCATTGATTTTAGAATTATTAGAGTCATAAAATAATAAATCTAGCATGAATTTGATTAAGTCCGTAACTATTTACTGAAAAACTGGACGGGTGATTAAACAGGTTGGGATTATAGTTCATATGCCAGTGAGTGGTCAAACCAATAATGACTAAAATAATATAATTTAACCAAACTATATAAAAAAAATCACATATAATATTGAAAAGAGCAATATTTAATTAAAAGGTACATTAATTTCTAGATAAATAAAATATTAATATAGAAGTAGATTTATCAATTAGGGTTGACTTTTAAAATGTTAGTACCAAACAAGCTAAATATTATAAATTTGATTATGCTTTATGATTTTATTTTGCAAAACTTAGCCTTGACTCTTAAAGTTGAAGGTTGTCCTTATAGGCTTTAACTATATTTTTTTTCTTTCTTTTGAGTAAAAAACCTAAAAAAACACATTTATAATCTTAAAAAAAGATACTGCATATAAGATTAAGTTTATGAAAAATAAATTTAAGTCAATCCACCCCACAAACAAATATGTAAAATTCAAACATTCAAGTGTAATGTCAAGTAACGATATCAAAATTAACATTAATAAAAATTAAACCTTTTTAATATCATTAACTAAGCCTCAATAAATGAATTCATAAGTTAAATCTTGACAAATGAATGAGCAAGGGAGGAATAAGTATAGGGTTTTTATTTTTTTTAGTTGGATACATAATCTTTTATTTTTTTCAAATTATTTTTTTTAGTTTGAAATAAAAAAAAAAAAAAAAATTTAAAAGAGCTGGTGTTGGCCTTAAAGGCCAACCCTTTTAAGTGTAATTCTTTCATTTTGAGGCTATCGAGCTGGTCTTTTTAAATTGGCATTAGCCTGTTATTTTTTAACTAAATCTTTTTATTTTCAAGCTTAGAAAGGCTAATCATTTTAAATTAAATTACTATTTTTTATCATAAAGTAATGGTTTAGCCATGATTACTTTAGAGCTTAAAAGGATAAGTTTGATAGACTCAACTTTAATTAACAACTCAATATAGAAGCCACATACAATTCAACAAAATAACAGTTACCCAAGTATAAATAATAGCTATTTTTTAAATTCAAAACAATGCAATTTTAAGTTTAATAATGAAAAAAAATCAATTGGTTGGACACAAGCTAAAATTTTTATCAGTAGAGTAACATGGAATAATGATATTTAAAATTTTAAAACAATAATTTTATAATATTTAGGTTCCAACAAAATTCTATAAAAAAGTAATTATAAATATTGACTTAAATAGTTATAAGTTTAAAGATTTTAAAACAGTTAAATTTTAAAGATAATCAACAGTTGAGATTCTATTTAAAAATATTTAAATTAATATTTATAATTAATTTTTTTAAAAAATTATAAAAAATTTAACTGCTATAAATTTTAAATTTTAAAAATTTATTACTATCCTTTCAACTAGTTTAGTGGTATGACAGGCAACCCGACTGAAGTTTAAATACATAAATATATTGCTTATAAAAAAATACATAAATATATTAATTAATTTTGGGAACAAGATTTGAAAAGGGGCGAAAGACAAGGGAACAACGGGGGGCATTTGATTTGAGGGGGTTGAAAAGGACAAACTCTGAGAGGACTGAAAAGCAAAGGCACAAGTGGTAACCGTCTGATCCATCGAGCCATGTGACCTCTGAATCCTCCCCCTCCCTTTGCACGACATTTTCCTCGCTTTTCTAAAATCCCAATTTTAAAATCCTCCTTCAATAATTGGCCAGCGTTCCGCCATTACTCCCCCACGCCCCTCTCCGTATTCTCCCTCTACCTTTATTATTTCTTTTGTTTATGTTTTGGTGCAAAAACGAAGTGCCAACAAACTCTAAACTCTTGCCCTCCCCCCCTTCCCTCCTCCTCTCGCCTTCTTCACATTCCTTTCACTCCTCCTTCCTTCCTTCCTACTTCTTCCTCTCCCTGACCAGAATCCGAAAGCTCTCCCTCAACTACTCCTACTCCTACTCCTGCACCTTTCTCGCCTTTCGCATTCCCTGCCGTCTTCTCTGATCTTTAAATGCAATGGCGGAGCACAATATTAGACCCGCCAAGAGCAGGGTTCTCTATGTCAGGATGAAGTTCCTGCACAGACACTCTAGGTCACCCCAAGAACGCAGCTGCTTTCACTCTCATTACAAATGGGTTCTCTGGTTTTCCTTCTCACTTTACTTCTTCGCTTCCTATCTCATCGGCAGCGATCCCCACGCTCAGCTCGGCTCTCTTCGCGCCACCCCTGTCTCCAACACCGAATCCGCTCTCCTGTCCAGTGCCCTTTTCGAGTCCTCTCACATGGCTCCCCGGCAGCCTCGAGCCCCTCTGGGTGCGCCCAAATTTTCAACCTTTTCTGCTCTGTGTTTGCATCCAACAATAGGAATTTCACTCGAGGGCTGTTCATGTTTACAGGTGCGTTGAAGAACCTGAAGATTTTTGCCTACGATTTGCCCCCGAAATATAACACCGATTGGCTTTCCAACGAGAGGTGCAGCAGTCATTTGTTTGCGTCCGAAGTGGCCATTCACAGGGCCTTGTTGACGAGCGACGTGCGCACATTTGACCCGTATGAAGCTGACTTCTTCTTCGTGCCCGTCTACGTCTCCTGCAACTTCAGCACCGTCAATGGTTTCCCCGCAATTGGTCACGCGCGCGCTCTCATCGCTTCCGCAGTGCAACTCGTCTCATCCGAGTATCATTTTTGGAATCGAAGCAGGGGGTCCGACCACGTGTTCGTCGCTTCTCACGACTTCGGTGCTTGTTTTCACACCCTGGTGCGTTTGATATTTTAGGTTCACATGCTTCGGTCGCCAGCGTTCTTATGTTGCTTTCACGGTTTTAAATCGCGATACTTCTGTGATTTGAAACTGTTTTGTTTTGGGTCTGAGAAGGAGGACGCGGCGAGTGCAGATGGGATACCAGAAATCTTGAAGAACTCTGTTATATTACAGACATTCGGTGTTCAATACGAGCACCCATGCCAGGACGTTGAGAATGTGGTGATACCACCCTACGTATCGCCGGAAAGCTTGCGGAACACTCTGGAGAAAGCTCCGGTGAACGGAAGGCGAGACATTTGGGTGTTTTTCAGGGGGAAAATGGAGGTCCATCCGAAGAACGTCAGCGGACGGTTTTACAGCAAGTAATGAATCCCATCTTTGAACATAACTCCTCATAATCAAAACTCTTAATCATGCTTTGCGCTTTTGGAAACTGTCGGATTATCTTGCTTTCGTTCTCGGTTAATTTTACCGCATTGCCCTTCACTAGTTGACCTTGACCCACGGTCGTTCTATTTTGAAGGCGCGTGCGGACGGCGATATGGCGGAGATACAACGGCGACAGGAGGTTTTACCTACGGCGGCACAGATTTGCGGGCTACCGGTCAGAGATTGCCCGGTCAGTGTTCTGCCTGTGCCCGCTGGGGTGGGCCCCGTGGAGCCCTCGGCTGGTCGAATCAGTGGCGTTGGGCTGCGTGCCGGTGATAATCGCGGACGGGATTCGGCTGCCGTTTGGATCGGCGGTGAGGTGGGGGGAGATATCGGTGACGGTGGCGGAGAAGGACGTGGGGAGGCTTGGGGAGATACTGGAGGAGGTGGCGGCGACGAATCTGAGCAAGATCCAGAGGAAACTGTGGGACCCGAGCACGAAGCGGGCCCTGCTGTTCAACAATGAGATGAGAGAAGGCGACGCCACGTGGCAGGTGATGGTGGCGTTGAGCGAGAAGTTGGACAGGTCCTACAGGAGGTCGAGGGTTTCAGGCCAATTGGAGAGCGACACGTAATGTGGAAAGAGGGGTCTTTCCAACGTGGATAGGGGCTCAGCGCGGCGCATGATGGAAGACAGCTGGAATACTTCGGGGGAAGGGAGAGAAGGAATTTTGGGGATAGAGGTGGGACGCAGAGTAGCAGAGGAAGGGATTTGATTGGAGGGGTATGCGGTTTGTCAGAGAAAAAGTTGACCACAGTCATAAAGTAGAGGAGAAATATCATCGAATTTAAGAATGGAGATGGCCAAAAGCTGTAAACCGTGAACAAGATGATTTTTGGGTGTTATTTTTTTTGTAAATAATAAAAATAGAGGAAAGGTGAAATTCTTTTTGGAGATGGAAATATTAAATAAAAGAAGAAGGGGCTGAAATGGCAGAGGTGTATTGCGTGCGGGAGGTAGCCCGGGGGGGGGGGCTCAGGTGTCAGTAGTCACGGGTACGGTATGGGTCTCCTGGATCCAATACACACGCTCCAGTCCAACCCCATTCAAGAGCAGCTTTTGTGGATGAAATGGATTTGAATGTACAATTCCCATTAGGTTTAATTCCCATCGGTTAAAGTACAATTCGGATCAATTAGATTTACAAACCTCATCATGGACGCTATTGGCCTTCGCTCATCCGGTATGTTTCATTTGTAGATTAAAAATGAAAAAAAAGGGACCCTATGATCAATCTCAGTCTTTTCGTTTGTCCTGTTACGTGTTTTCCCCCAAAGTTTGAATGTGAATGTTCCCTGTTGCGAAAAAGGAATATTTAATGACAAAAACAATTAAAATGTGATATCTGTGGGTCAAATATTCCGATTGATGCAGAGGCTGTTCTATCACAAATTTATTGAGGCTTCTTTGCAACTTTAGTACTTGTTACATTTTTGGTCGTGTTCTGTTTACGGCACTCCCTGTGCCTGAGTAATGAAATTTGTTTTAACACCTGCTTCTCTATTCTGCCATACTTAAATATAAAGGATATTTTAGAAGTTTTGTTTAGTCCAAAATATAAGGTATTTGATAATATTTATAATTATTTTTTAACTATACTCCTACCTTGTTTATTACTTTTTTGTAAAAAAAATAATACATAAAAATTTTAATTTAAATTATTAAGATACCTATATATAGTATTTAATGAGAATATGATTGTACATATGCAAATTTTTGTAAGAAATTAAAGTTTTAATTAATAATTTATTAACAATCATGAATTGGTTATCAGTACCACATATTTTGGTTAGAGAGAGCAAGTCATAACTTTGTTTTCCAACACTTTTAGACTCTGGCCGCAATTCATTCCACGATTATGTTATATTACTACTCTTCCTTCCCGGTTCGAGTTATGATTCTATTCTCCGTTTTTTCTAAGCCTGGATTTATATTTCTATTTAATCCTACACTATCAACTAACTTTCTCAATCTTATGATGTATGGAAATTTTAATTATCGTTATCAATGTAATTATATAGAGTATTTAATAAGGGCATAATTATACATATGCAAATTCTTTTGAGAAATTAAGATTTCAGTTAATAATTTATTTGCAATTGTGAATTGGTTGCCGATACGATATATTTTGGTTGGAGACAGCAAGTCATAATTTTGTTTTCCCACACTCGTCCACAGTTCATTCCACGATTATATTATTATTATACCATTACTCTTCGTTACCGGTTCAATTTATAATTCTATTCTGTATTTTTTTAGAAAACCTGAATTTATGGTTCTATTTACTCCTATTGTTTAAGACATTGCATTCAGCGTCTCCATAACCACAAACTTTCACTTGCCAACATTTTTTTCCCCTTGTAACTGCGCCGTGCGCGCTCGCACTCCCGTGAGCAAGAGTCTCGTCTGTTAGAGATACGATTTTTAATGGGCCACGCCCTTCCAAGGAATTCTAGGTCCAAACTCTCGTTTTTCCTGACTAAAAGTAATCGATGTTACATCAATACTTTCAGTATTTTACCCCAAAAAAAAAAAACAATTCTTTCAGTAGACATATGAACAATTTATTTGACAAGCTTTCACAAGACCATGATAAACACCGAAAAAAAGAGGCTCCATAGTTAATGTCTTAATGAGTATTACATCCACCAACACAAGAACTACATATCCTGCACTTGTACATATATTTATTATTTACATCAGTCGCCAAATATTAAAAAACAGCGTATATTACTTTGGAGATTCATCTTTTGGCAAGGACCAATTATATGAATATAAGTGAAGAGCCGATTTACTAGAATTGCTGCAAAAAGAGACCTAGTTTTTCTCTGCCGGTGTAGGTTCTATGTATCAATTTTGCTTTCCAACTTTTACCAATCAACTATGATTATAGACTTATAGTCAAAATTCGGAGGTGTAAAGGAATGAAACACGGAAATTATAGTGTATGTCAAAATAATTACATAAATACATTCATGTGAGTGCAACCCCACTTAGACTTTCTTATGCAATATAAAATCATTAGGTTGTTGTGTACTAAAATTCCAAATTCGTCCCCCCACTGGCCAGTTTGGATTCTTCCCTATTCACCTTGTGATCTCATTTTGACTCGAAACATGCATAGCCAGGGAAGAAGACGACAACACATTGTTTCTGATCGTTCACGAGATGAAATCGAATTTCACATTCCATACTGTAATAAGACGTGATTCGAGGAAACGAAAGTATGGGGTTAGATACCCTTCACCGAGGTTCTTTCTGTAAAGCATGCCCTGACTTGCAATTTTAAATTACACAACTACACGCCATTGGAGGCATCTTTTTTGAGTTCTTCGACCCACTTACTGCACAAGTGACAATCCTGTGAGATTTAAACTGCCTCTGCAAAACACTGTAACTTCTTTAGTCTCTACGGTCTCCAACAAATTGGCCTTTTGTGTATTATTTTCCCTCCGTCTTTTTGTTTGCCTTATCCTTACTCTTTCTCCTGTCTCTTCTGTTTCTGTTTGCCTTTTGCATCTCTGTGTAGGTTATCCTTTTGCACAAAGAAATGGTAGGCCATTACTCATCAACTCGACCTCTATAATTCGCCCAATATCAATCCAGACAATTGGAAAACTTGACACGCAATAAATTAGCCTGGCCCATTGTCTTATCATTGTTGCTCATGAAGTGTCCTTGGCAGGGGTCGTCCCGTGACAATATCAGCATGCTAATTAACCATAAGCATCAAGTTCGAACCATAGTTATTCTGGTGGTCCAAAAATGAGCAACAAAACTCCATCTGGAGAAAGTTGATTCAACCACAAGGGACAAGCGCACTCTTCCACACACGTATTAGAACAACATTTTAATTAATTTATTTCATCATCAAGAGAACCAAAAGCAATGGTACAACACAGTTACACAAATCACATAAACAACAAAAACATTCCAATCTTTGTGTGGGGTAGTTCTGGACGCTCAACTGCTCTTGCAAACTACACTTGCACAGTGGGACCATCTCATAAACCACCTCTCGTGATATAAACAGTTTGATCACACAACAGACTTAATAACTGTAAATAAAAAGCTGACTTTTACAAGCATGCAATCTGCTCGCTCATGTTCAGCCAGCTGATCTGGTACAAAGCAAGCATGTGAGAATCTTTTGACCCTAGCACTCAGGAGTGAGTGTATGATCTCTCTTAGGGTCATGGCAATAGTTATAGACCAAGTAGTTGTTTTGGACCCATTGCATGGTGGCATATTGCTGAGGGGTCAGACTGCTATAGCCGGAAGGTGACGCAGAGGGTGGTTGGCACGAGGCAGGGTCATTACTGGTGCAACCTTTGATTTTGAAGTTCTTATACCTACCAACAAAGGGTTGATACTTGTAATCAGCTTTGTATTTTCCATCCTCTGTTGCCCAGGACGAAGCATCCCATATTGATCCGTACACATACATTGGTCTTGTAGGGTATGTGGCATCGCTCTTCCGAGGATACTTCCGTATGGGGATATCGTCAACCAGGAATCTGCATAACAGTTTTTTCCATTATAAGACAAACTTGCAAACTACATACAACAAACCGCACCCCATAAGCAAGAGTTTCTCATTGTCGGGCAGCTCACACAAAAGCAACAACACTCTGAATGACTTTTCTGACACTTTAGAAATACATAAAGTAAAAAGTAAATACGATATTTTCAAGGGGGGTCCACATGCAGTTATTGTATGAAATTATCTTTTCTTGACAACATTAAAAAGGATTCACATATGCCGTCGGCATCAACTTTAAAGTAACATACTTCATTATCAATTAATGAGGAAAAAAAATTATCGTTGCCAATAAAAGTGAGTTTCATAATGCAGACATGGCTATTGACTGGGAAATTTGAGCATGATTTTGAATGAAGAAAATTACATGATCTCGCGGGGTTTCCACAGAATAGCATAGTTGTGAAAATCTTGTGTTGGGTCGAACCAGAGATGAAACCTCACTTCTCTGCCTATGATATTTCCATCTCCACTGCCTCTGATATATACGTTTGTCTGCAAGACATAGGGCTTATCCGGAGTAGTACCAAGGAACTCAATATCAATTTCATCATGGTTTCCTGGGTGGTCTTGGTTGTTTGATAACTACAATTCCCAAATGTCACAACCAAGAAAAAAAGTCGGGTGAAATTCTCCTGAAAACTTGTAAACCTAAATCTTCAACATTCACTATAGTCATAAATAGAGTAATAATAATCCTCACATAGAAAGATGTAATGACTCCTGCAGTATAACCTGGTTGAAGCTTAATTGCAGCTCCAAAGTAACCAGATTGATAAGATTTCAGTGACTTGAATCCACTCCCTAAGTTCAGAAAATGCACAGGTGAGAGCTGGCAAGACCAAATACTAAAACAGATATGGGACAGCAGAGACTGACACTACAAAGTATGGAATACCTGAGTTAGAGTCAAGCCAGATTGTTAATGAACCCTGGTCTAGTCTCTGATGCTGAGGACCCCAGAGGTTTTTGAACCCTTGATCAAAGCTAAGAGGGCTAATTTGGGAACTTGGGAGGTAATCTGGTGAAGGCGGACCCTGAGCACTACTTGAAGAAATCATGAGAGAAAGCAGAAGAAAAGGGAAGAAGGGAGACATGAAGAGGAAAGGGAAAGAAAGTGGTGATAATGGCATTGAAGCAAAAAGAAAAAAGAGTGACTCTGCTATAACGGAAGATCAGTGTTAGTTGAAGCTCATGACAGGGGAAGGCTACGCGCAGATGATATATATAGGAATTTAGTTGATCGCAGAGTTGTAGACGCGACAAAACTGTCACATTTGAGATGAACAGTGTGGGAAATTAGTTCAATTTTTCGAGTGATTATTATTCTTCCTCATTGTTGTCAAATCAGCAGCCATCAACTATCCCTCCATTCCACTTATAGCTCTTGGCGTGAATTATGAATTTTAAAAAGTTATTATTAGTAGATACGTACAGTCATATATATATAGATATCAAGAAGTGATTGACTAGTTTTGTCTTTGGTTTTTCTAATTTTTTTTTTTTAATCTGGGATGCTTGATGTCTACTTTATCATGAATTCTGTAAAACTGTAACTTTTGCCTGTTTCCTTTTTATGACCTAGTTTTGGTTACCTCTGGCAGTGTGACAGAGAGGACATACAACTTGGGAAAAGTTATGGGTCGGTGAACCTTGCCAAATCATAGACATGATCATAGTACAATTGGACCAGGCTTCTATTGAAGAGAAGAACGTGGAAGCTCATCCTAGTCTACCTCCCTTTTTTTTTTTGAGAAATGTGATAGGAAATGATAACTTCATAATAATTTGAAACTGTCGTT